CCGAGTAGCTGAGACTACAGGCATGTGCCACCATGCCTGGCTAATTTTTTCTCTATATTTTTAGTTGTCCGATTAATTTCTTTGTATTTTTAGTAGAGACGGGATCTCGCTCTTGCTCAGACTGGTTTCGAACTCCTGAGCTCAAACAATCCACCCGCCTCGGCCTCCCAGAGTGCTATGATTACAGGTGTGAGCCACCGTGCTGGCCTTGTCTCTGTCTTCTTAAGACCAGTAGAATACCCTTTGTGATATATTTCAGTTCCTCTTTTCCCCTTAATATTTTATTCTAATTTAAGTTAGGGCTGACAGTCATGTCTGTAATTCTCTAGTTTCCTTCTACCTCTGAGCATCCTTTATTAAGTCTATTTATAGAGCAATTCATATTAGTGTTGTATAATAGTCATTTTTAAATAAATCTACTTCCCTGAATGTCTTATTTATATAAGAAGCACATGAACACAGAGACTTTACTTACAATTCTTTTTTTTTTCTCTCTTTAATAAGGTACTAAGTTTGACAGGTTTGCATCATGCGTGAGTATAAGCTAGTCGTTCTTGGCTCAGGAGGTGTTGGAAAGTCTGCTCTGGTAAGTCATTCTTACTGTACCTAAGATTTTCACTCCAAGGCATTCTTTTTCTGTTGAGTTTTAGGTTTTGATTATTTGTCTTTGTTGAAGTGAAATCCCATAATGACTTTAGAAATGATACCATATTTTTCTTGTAATTTTACTGAAATTTAATTATATCTGGGTGGATCATATACTCTCTGGAACATTGGTTCTAGACTGACATGAGGTATGCAAGAATATAGTTTGGACTAAGCAGAGAGAGTGAAAGCATATAAATATGTGTCTGTTTGCATTTTAGAGCCAAATAGGAATGAATTTGGTTCTTTATTCCTGTGAGTAGGCTTATACTATATATTTTATGTTAGAAAACATCAAAGTTTATAAAAAGTCTTTTTTAAATAATTAACCTTTGTCTAGTATTAAATTATTTAAATGGCCATGTTTTCTGCATCAAAGAATGGTATAGCAAGAACTAACACAGCTTGGTGGTGGGGGTTCAGGAAGGGGAGAAACTTAGGGAAAATAACTTGATGACTAGTTCAGAATTTAGTAAAGCCCCACAACAAGATAGATTGACCTTCTCTTTCTCTCTGGTGAGATAAACCATCTTACTTAGCCACTTAGAGTGCCATCTAATTAAAATTCAAGTTTGAACCCTTAAGACTGAAACAGTGGACATTTAAAATTTTTAGAATGTATGATCTCTAAACTTAGAATTACCAATAAGGAGCATAGTGACTATTAATTTTTGGTTTTTTTAAGAAAAACAAGCTTTCTAATTTTCTCCCCAAATTGATTTATTCAAATGTAGTATTGGTTATTTTCTGTCATTAATGTTAAAATGACCTATGTGAAGTCTGTTTAAAATGTACAAATTTGAATTTGTTTTTTTCTTTAGAAGTATAATGGTATGTTAATTTTTTACAGACTGTACAATTTGTTCAAGGAATTTTTGTTGAAAAATATGATCCTACGATAGAAGATTCTTATAGAAAGGTATATATTACTTTAGAAAGCTTTTGTTTTGATTTTAATATAAATATTTGTTTTTAGCTTTATAATTATTGAATGTTGTATACAAAGTAGAACAAAGAAACAGTTAATTCATAAAATTAATGGGAAGAGTTCACACTTGATTATTTTCTGGCATTGCATGGTTACTAGTTTAGGAAAATCATAAATACTCATAAACACAGTCACACATTCACAGAATTGTGTTTATCCTAACCCCAAAATTGTAGTTGACACACAAACCTTAAAGCAGACCATCCATTTCAAGTGGCAGCCCCATGTTTCCCTCTAGAAAGACTGATTACTCTCAAGCTCCCTTCTTTTTAACCTAGACGTAGGCATACAGAAGTCTCCCTAAACTTCCTACTTATTAACCCCTTGAGAAAGTGCCTCTACTCACCTGCTTATCTGAAATGCTTGAAACCAGAAGTAGTTCAGATTTCGGATTTTTTTGAATTTTTGGAATATTTGCATAGACATAGTATCTTGGGTATGGGACCCAAGTCTAAACACAGAATTCTATTTATGTTTCATATACACTTTGTCCACATAGTCTGGAGGTAGTTTTTTAATAATTTTGTGCATGAAACAAAGTTTTGACTACTGCCTGTCACATGAGCTCTGGTGTGGAATTTTCTACTTTTGGCGTCATGTTCCACATGTGGCTCAAAAAGCTTCAGATTTTGGAGCATTTCAGATTAAGGATGCTCATCCTGCAGAAAATTGAATCCCTTTGTCCACTAACAGCAGGTGACAGTAAAACAGTGTGCAGTAGGGGGAGAGTTGTCTTCCCACCTTTAGGTAGCAGCTAGCCTAGCCTGCTGTTGTACAAATACTGTTTTCATTCCTCCCTCTGTGTCCGCAGTCTACCAAAAATCTGGAAACTCCTTCCTGCACTCCAGCTGTAAAGCAATGTTAATCTTTTCTTTCTACATCTAATTCTAAGTAACTTCTTCCCTAGGATATATTAGGCAAAAAAGAATAGCAGGGATATGTGTAAAATTTATTTAACAGCTGTGGCACTGCTTGCTTACTACCAGAATTCTTGTTCCAGTATGGTGAGGGGATATCGTTATCTAGAGAAATGAGGTATATCTAAAGTATTATGGGAATGTTGAGATAGACAGAATTACTTCTTATAGTGGTAGTTTTATTTATTTGAGCAATTTTGAAAGTATTCTCTAGAAATAAGTGCTGAGTGATTCATATTAAGAATGGATCCTATAGATATCCTTGTGTTGACTTGAGAACACATGGCTTTTGAACCTAGTATACAATTTGGAGATCTATGCACCTTGATTACTTAGCTGTTTTTCCTCCTGTTTTGTTAAAGTATTGCTTGATATTATCTTGTAAAGTTATTATAATCTATGTCTCTGTTTATGATTTATTAGCTTTTGTGTATATTAAGGTGCTTTATGTACATAAAAAATGAAGGTGTATTTTAATTTTTCTCACAGCAAGTTGAAGTAGATGCACAACAGTGTATGCTTGAAATCTTGGATACTGCAGGAACGGTATGTAAAACAAAGTACAAAGTATATGTGGTTTGTACAATATTAACTTAATAAATGCTAATACTGTATAGACAGATATTAGGTAAGCTTATTTAAAAGTACTATTTGCATTAAATGTTAAACCTGTTTTTCTTATTCTCTTGAATTCTACTCTTTTTATATTGCACTTTGTAATTACAGAGGGTCAATTATTGAAAAATTAATTAGAAAATTTGTTAGGAAAATTTTCAGTCTCACTAGTACTTTTAAAACAATATATTACCATATTGCAAATAATGTCAAAAATACTTGGGCCTACGTTCATTCCTCAGCAACTGTGTGAAGTATTTTGATTATTTCCTCCTTCAGAGTATTAATAAATCCACTAGCTTTGTTAGGTATTTGGAGGTGAAGGGAAGATTTATTCTGGGTGTGTGGTGTTCATTCAGCTAATATTTGAGTATCTGATATGTGCCAGGCACTCTGTTCTTACCCTCAAATGCTCAACACTCTAGTGAAGAAGTGTGGGAAAATGACATGATAATGCGATATGCATAAGCATGCTGATGGACCTCCACAGAACTAGAGCATGTGAGCTAGCTGTAACTTGAGGATATAATTGGGGTACTCTACACATTATGATACAGTAAAAAGCTGCCTTTAAGTAGCTTTTGGGGACAGAATATTTCTGTTCCACTTGAGTATATTTGTTGTATATAAATGTACTTTGTGTTATTTTTAAATAAATCTATTTCTTAAAATATCAGTTTTTCAAATAGTATCTTGCCATGGACCATGGACTATACTTTTAAGAAGTGTTACAAATACTACAGTATTCTTCACTGAGCTATAATTATTATAGACTTTGAAAATTATCAAATTAACTGCCAAAACATTTCTTGTTTTTTAATGTTCCTTTCTTTTCTATTGTAGGAACAATTTACAGCAATGAGGGATTTATACATGAAGAATGGACAGGGCTTTGCATTAGTTTATTCCATCACAGCACAGTCCACATTTAACGACTTGCAAGATCTGAGAGAACAGATTCTTCGAGTTAAAGACACTGATGATGTGAGCTTACTCTTTAACAAATATATTTTATTTCAAAGTGTTTATTATAATGACATCCAGTTTTAAGGCTTAAATTTAAACTCAGTTTAAAGTTCATGTATGGGAGGAGTCGTTTCTCAAAAGCTTTGCCCTTAAAAGTCAAAAATGTATCTTTAACATTCATACATGTTTTCAAATAGAAATCATATGAAAAGTGAGAAAATCCCTCCTTTTCCATTATCCTGTGAAAATACCCTTCCTGTTTTTAAACATACATTTGGGGCAGAAGGAGAGATGTGGGAGGCAGATGTTACTAATTGAATGATGTTCTGGCCATATTTCTGGTAGATTTAAGATCCTTTTTGACAAGAATCAGACATTCAAATGAACATACTCAAGCAACAGTGGCAGGAGCATAATAATAATTTTAAAAGGAAGGCATCAAATACATTAGATTCTAACATTAATTTAGGTGCCCCTTCAGAGTGTACCATAATGGAGTTTAATCCTATATGAAACATCAAAAAGATTATTTCATATCATACTATATATAGCAGTGGCTCTCAAAATTGATCTTGCATCAGAATCACCTATATGACTGGTTAAAACTAGATTTCTGGGCCCAGCCCCCAGTGTTTCTAATTCAGTAGGGCTGGAGGGCCTAAGAATTTGCGTTTCTAACAAGTTTCCAGGTGGTGTTGATGATGCTAATCTGGGTACTACACTTTACCAGGGCACTACAGTTTAATTGTCACAATAGCAAATATTGTGAGAACTGGGAGACACCCAGGCTACTAAATGCTGCCATTTTCTGGACTTCTGAAACAAGGAAATTTGGGGGGACCTTACATATTTACAACAACCTCAGTGAGCATTTTTCAATTAGTAAATCTGTTTTTCTTTTGTCTCTGGTAACTACCATAGTTTTCTTCTATCAGTTGTATTAAACAAGTATTTATTAAATGCCTAATAATAAACTCTATATCTATTCCTAAAATGCCAAAATTATTTTCCAGTTGGGATTTTTTCCAAAAATGCTTTAGAGACTGGGCGCGGTGGCTCACGCCTGTAATCCTAGAAGTGTGGGAGGCCGAGGCGGGCAGATTGTTTGAGCTCAGGAGTTCAAGACCAGCCTGCGCGAGAGCAAGACCCTGTCTCTACTAAAAAAAATAGAAATTATCTGGACAACTAAAAATATATAGAAAAAATGAGCCGGGCGTGGTGGCCGCATGCCTGCAGTCCCAGCTACTCAGGAGGCTGAGGCAGTAGGATCGCTCGAGCCCAGGAGTTTGAGGTTGCTGTGAGCTAGGCTAACGCCACGGCACTCACTCTAGCCAGAACAACAGAGTAAGACTCTATCTCAAAAAAAAAAAAAAAAATGCTTTAGAAAACCAGTTATTAAATGGTTAATAGTGGTTTTGTAAAGTAAGTTTTGTTTTTCTCTATAGTATTCTTTTACTTAAAATTATAAACTTCACATATATTCAACTACATGATGCCATTAATAAGTGGTCTTGATTTTAGTAAATTATAAGACTATATGAGAAACTAAAAATTCTACTTTAGAGGCCTTCCAAATTTCTCCTTTTTGTGTTGTGCGGTTGAGAATGCTTATTTGATAAATGCATGTTGAGAAACCAGAAAACTTGAGGTTGATTCACACCCTTTAGAGAAACATTTTTAAATGCTAAAGTATATTGGCTTTTCACACTAACACCCTCTTGTACTTCCTTTTTAAAAGGTTGTATGTTTTGCTTACTATAATTAGTTATAAGTCCATTGTGATATAATGTTAAGGTTTTTTTTCCCTCTGTTATAAGTAGATCATAGCTTATATCTTTTTTCTTTTTTTTTTTTTTTTTTTTTTTTATTTCAGCAAATTATGGGTGTACATACGTTTAGGTTACGTGTGTTGCCCTTGGTTCCCCCCCCACCGAAGTCCGTGTTTTAAATATGTCCATCCTTCGGATAGTGCGCATTGCCCTCCTTGTGTATGCACATACCCCTCCCCTCCTCCCTCTTCCCCCCTCCCCCCACCACCCTCCCCCTTCCCCAGCATCCAATAGATGTTGTTCTGATATGTGCATTTATGTGTTGATTAGTTAATACCAATTTGATGGTGAGTACAAATGGGTCCCGTTCTGCTGCTCTTGTGGTGCTCCACTTTGGATAATGGGCTTAAGTTTAATCCAGGAAAGTGTAAGAGGTACTAGATCACTGTCATTTCTTATGATTGAGTAATATTCCATTGTGAACATATACCAAATTTTGATAATCCATTCATGGATTGACAGGCTCTTGGGTTGTTTCCACATTCTTGCAATAGTGAATTGTGCTGCCATAAACATTCGGGTGCAGATGTCCTTATCGTAGAATGTTTTGTGCTCTTTTGGGTAGATGCCTAATAGTGCTATTGCTGGATCGAATGGTATTTCTATTTTTAGCTCTCTGAGGTATCTCCAAATTCTTTTCCACAGAGGCTGCACTAATTTTCAGTCCCACCAGCAGTGTAGAAGTGTTCCTGTCTCTCCACATCCTCGCCAACATTTGTTGTTTTGTGTTTTTTTGATAGAGGCCAATCATAGCTTATATCTTTTTCTCTTTTCTTCCCTTTGGAGTTATCATTTGACATCTCCATGCGAGAAGGCAGTGGAGGTAACTGACAGTATAATTGACATGAAAGTCAGTACTTTTTTTCTTACAAATTAACGTTGTTAAGGCTTTCATATTTTAACTAAATTTTATTACACACTATTAATTTAGTATTTTTATTTGGCATTATATATGAAACGTAATCATTGGGCTTGCCTCTTAAATTTTTTGATTTGAACTTGTATAGCATATTTACTTATTTTTACCCTTAAATGTATTTTTAGGTTCCAATGATTCTGGTCGGTAATAAGTGTGACTTGGAAGATGAAAGAGTTGTAGGAAAGGAACAAGGTCAAAATCTAGCAAGACAATGGAACAACTGTGCATTCTTAGAATCTTCTGCAAAATCAAAAATAAATGTTAATGAGGTATGGTCAAATATACTTAAGATAGCTCTTCATTTGGAATACCACATTCAAAATTAATGGAAAAAAATGTGTATGTATTAACACAACCCCAAGTTAATGTGTACTCAGAGTGATATATTGATCTCATAGGCAAAAAAAATCTTACGTTAAATATATGCGTGCAGCGAATAAGCAACGGTACTATTTCAGTCTCTTTATTAAATGCTAGTACAGTGAAATTTACCATGAAAAAGGGAGACTGGACAGAAAAGATGGGGATAGGGGAAGACAGATTAAGTCTTCAGCTATCTGAAGGATGCTATTATGTACAAGATAAGGACTAAAATTCAAAAATGCATGCATGGTTCTTGACGGGGCTTAAAGTCATGTTATAGAATAGAAACACATAAAAAGATTTGAGGAAGAGTAAAGGATTTTTTTCTTTGCATGATGGTAAATATTGTAACTGAACTAAGATATAAGATCTCTGCAGCTCTTTCAACTAAGTATTTAAGAACAATTTTAACCGTCCTCCAATGTAAAGAAACAAAAAAGAACTTGGCAGGTGGCAGTAAAACGCCTGATTTTACTCATTCCTTAACTGAACAGAAATAGTTGCTTTTGGGGAATTCATTTATATCGATAGAAATCACTAATTTTTCATTTTACTTTTTCATTTTTTGTTTTTGGGGGTTTTTTTCTTCTGTAAATTAAAAAAAAATTAATACATTTGCAGATCTTTTATGACCTAGTGCGGCAAATTAACAGAAAAACTCCAGTGCCTGGGAAGCCTCGCAAAAAGTCATCATGTCAGCTACTTTAATGTACAAAATGCATTGTAGCTCTGAGCCAGGTATGGTAATTTATCTTTCCTCTAACTTTTAATCACTCAGCTTCATTAAGGGCGCTCTTGTCATGAAAGCAAGTAGAGAATTTTTTTGGTTCTAAAAAATAAATGGTTACTTTCTTTTCAGTATATCTATGAGTTAGTATGATTCCTATTAAAATAGTTGTTTCATTTACCTATTATCATAAGATATTCCACACAAGTGAATATTCTAAACAAGTTCATTCATTATATACTTATGCCCTAATGGTACATTGGTTGGTGCTGGCAGTACAGTGGTAGATAAGAACAACCTTCTCTCCTTGCTTTTTAATTAGCTTAAGCTAATTAAGGTGTACTGAAAGAAAGAGACAATTAATTGCAAAAAGTGATAAATACTGTGATAGGATAAATCCAGCATAGTACTACTAATAAAAACCCCTGACACATTTTCCATGTGCCAGGCAATCTTAAATACTGTCTGTCTATTGAATTCTCACACATGCCTGTGAGACAAGAACTATTATTATTCCCATATTACAGATGAGGGAACTGTGGCACAGAAAGATTGTTACTTGTTCAAGCCCTGCAGTTAGTAATAGAGGGCCAGAATTTGAATAGGCAGGCTGGTTCCTGAGACCATGGTTAGCCACTGTGCCATTATGGGTACCGTAGGAGCATGTAATTGGGGCACCAAACCTGTCAAATGTGAACTAAGGATTCAGGGAAAGTGTCAGAGTAAGAGACATCTAAGCTGAGATCTGAAAGACAAGTAGAAATTAGCTATGTTGGGGATGAAGAGTTCCCAGAGAAAACCACAAATACAACTCAGAGATGAAATAGCAAAGGAGAACTGAGCACACATTTTTATGTAGGTTTTGAAAACAATCATGTTAAATGAGGTTAATACTTATCAAGCAATTAGATCAGTGCCTGGCACATCATAAACTGTCAGCTATCAGGTGTTTGCCAGTGATAATGGTTTCCTATTCAGTTATTAAACCGTTTATTTTTTGTACACTTATCCTTGAGAACTTCTGACATTTGTGACTCTGCTTCCTTGTATGTTAAATGACCCCATACTACCATAGCACTTTGGTTCTATATCTTTTTAGAACTTTTGTCAGTATCCTCCATTTAGGACTTTCTGTTCATATCCTTTCATTCATTCCTGACCACATGCCCATTCTTAGCAGCACACATGTGCCTGAGCTCACACACTCCCATCTGTCCTTTCCAATTTGCTACATTCAGTCTGTTAGGATGTAGAAAACTAGATTGCAAACCTCATTCAGACTCAGAATGAGGACCTTAAGTTCTAGGCATTTGTGAAAATTGTTTCGGCAGCCATATCTATACTAACAACCCTTCTGGAGCTTGTAACAAGTCTGATCCCCAGAAAAACAGAGTAAAAAAGGAAACTTTTTTAGCCCAGTCATGTATGTAGAAAATTATCCAAAGTAAATAAGTATTTAATACACAGTTTTGATTTTACTTCTTTTATATCACTCACAAATTTTTTTAAAACTTTATATGTGATTTTAGTATAATACCATCTTTTTCTGACAACCATCTTAAAGTTAAATTTTTTTTTCTCTTTAATCTTTGGAAGTTAATGCACAAAAATTTGCATAAAGGTACCTCATCTTTTGGGAATGAAAAGATGAAAATGCCTACCATAAATTGTGGTACATTGCCATTAATGTGATGACTAGAACAAGAGCCTGTATTATATTCATTTCTAAGACTTTTAGACTGTTGTCTGTTTCCTTTGGATCTTTAGTGTACTTTTTCCAACCCATGTTTTCAGTTAATTTATCTTTTTCCTTTTGACAGGTCTGAAGAACTGTTGCCCAATTCAACAGTGCCAGCATTCCAACTTTGTTAAACCTACCAACATCTTAAATGGACTTTCCTGTGGTGGTACCCTTTAAGAGGCGGATGAAAGCTACTATATCAGTTTGCACATTCTAATCACTTTCCAGTATCACAAGAGAGATTTTTACTTATATAATAGTCCTAGAGTATGCAGCTGGTAAAACCAGAGGCTACATCCAGTATTACTGCTAAGAGACATTCTTCATCCACCAATGTTGTACATGTATGAAAATGGTGTACTGTATACTTTAACATGCCCCATACTTTGTATTGGAGAGTACAATAATGTAAATCCTAAAAGCACCACTATTTTAGCATAATAAAAGAAAGTCCAAAGAGCTCCTATATAGACTACTCCAGATAACTTCGCTTCTTTGATACTTGTAGCTTATTGTAATTTTTTTTAAGAAATTCAAGGTCATTATCATTGTATTGTACAAAATAAGCGCTTTGATTAACACAGCTGTGTAGCTTATTGTAATTTTTTTTAAGAAATTCAAGGTCATTATCATTGTATTGTACAAAATAAGCGCTTTGATTAACACAGTTGTATAGTTTTTTTAATTTTTAAAAAACCTGTGGAGACAGTGATCTTGTCTTTAAAATATGATAGTCCTTTCAGTATAATGTCTTAGATTAAAGACGTTGCCTTTAATATCTGTGGGGAAGGAAATGTCCAGACTTTTCAAATCTCTTATTATGTTTCCTTTTTTGTTTACATAGGGAACAATGTTTATAGTTGTGTGTACAGTGGGGGTCTACAACAAGAAGTGTATATTTTCAAACAATTTTTTAATGATTTAACAATTTTTGTAAATCATTTTCAGGCTTCTGCAGCTGTAGATTCTCACTGTGAATCCCTTGCTTGCTCATGCATAAGTGTATTTGCAATACCAAATATACAGGTTTAGTATTTTTGCCTGTTAGTGATTGTTTCACATGTGTAACGTTTTGGTTGAGATGTTAAATGGTGGACGAGTACTGTGGATGTGAATGTGGGAAGTAATTTTAATCATGTGTAATTGGTCACAAGGCCTAATTTGCAGTAACTATTGCTGTTTTATTTAACAATGCCTTGTTGCTTTGTATGCATTAACGTTTGGATGTAAAGATTGTGTGTCTATCCAACAGGGAGCCACAGTATTTAAATTGACCAACCTAATGTTACAACTACTTTGAGGTGGCCAAATGTAAACTAAAAGCCTTAATTAAAGTGGTGCAATTTTGTATAACTTAGCATCAGTAGTTCAATAAATTTGGATTGCCATGCAAGGGCTTGCATTATAATTACTTGCCACTTTGGATGTGTTTTGTGTAATGTTTTAACAGTGCTAGTAAATAAATATGGGTTAACTTCTTTTTAAATGTAATAGGTGCATTTTACACAGTGTGGTGTGGTTTCATAATTTAACATTTGAGCAAGCCAGACATACTCATTTATTACAAGAATGATGAGTGGAAAATGTCAGGATTTTTTTTTCTAGTATTGTTTGAATATCCACATAATGACCTTTTGAACTTTTCCTTGAGAAACAGTTTTGTAAATCAAGCAATATTACTTGTGAACAGATGCATTTGGGTAATACTCAGTAGCTTATTGAGGTAAAGGAGAAAGGATTGAAAATGTTACAGATGTTACACCTTGGATTTTTTTTATATATAGAATGAAGTTATACTTAGAATATTATGGTTATAAAAATCTTTGACATGGACTCAAAGTACTACTATTTTTAGGGAACAGATCTTTGTCTTATGTGTGCTATAATTCAGTTCTTCTGTGAAATTTGTAAAGAACCTCTTAAACTTTTTCAAGCTATTTGCCAGCCACTGGGGCAATTAATTTGTGATACTGTGTAATTTAGGGATATGTGCTAATCCCCTAAATACATGCTATTTGGGACATTTAAAGGCTTCCATTTTAACAAGGAAAAAAAGTCTTATTCCTTAAGTATTTAACTAACAAGAGTTTCATGTATTAAAAGGTCTAAAGAAAAAATGTTCTTCCAGAAGCTGCACTTAACTAGAGTTTTGGTTTTATTTATACTCATTTGGGCAAAAATTAAGCCCAAAAAAGATAGGACTATGGAGCACTAAAATCACTTAAAGTTATTATGTCCTGTTACATACATTGAGGGCACCACCATTGATTTAATTATCTTTAATAAGTGTTGCCTGCCAGCTATAGTACTGTGCCTATAGAACTAAGCACAGTTCTGGGCTCTTAAGAGCAACTAAATATTCATTCAACAAATAAATTTAAGTACTTAAATGTCAAGAATTGTTCCTAGGCCTAAGGATGCAGCAGCAACCAAGATCAACTATAAAACACTGCCCTCCTAGAATTTATACTCTGTTGCAGGCTTTCTCAGCCTGACGTTTTGTGCTGGATAATGTACTGTGGGCCTGTCCTGTGCATTACAGGATTTTTAGTAGCATCCTGGTCTCTGCCCACTAGATGCCAGTAACACCACCCCCAAGCTGTGACAATCAAAAATGTCTCCAAGCTGGGTGTGGTGGTGACTCATGCCTCTAAACCCAGCGCTTCTTAGTGAGGCAGAAGTGGATCACTTGAGGCCAGGAGTTCAAAACCAGCCTGGGCAACATGGTGAGACCCCTATCTGGAAAAAAAAAAAAAGTTTTAAAAATTAGCCAGGCAGAGTGGTACATGCCTATAGTCCCAGCTACTCGGGAGGCTGAGGTGGGAGGGTTGCTTGAGCCCAGGAGTTCGAGGCTGCAGTCAGCTATGATCCGGCCACTGCACTCCAGCCTGGGCAACAGAATGGTGAGACCCTGTGTCTGAAAAAGAAAAAACATGTCCTCCAGTTGGACTGAAGAGTTTCAGGAAGTGGACTTGGAGGGCAGAATCACCCGGGTCGAGAACTACTTGTCTGGTGGGAAACAACACATTAGTTACAGGTGAGTGTTAGGGTTACAAGATGGGTGATTTAGTGTAGAAAATAAGAATACGGGCTCTGAAGCCAAATTTCCTGGGTTTGTAATCCCAGGTCTGACACTTCCTAGCATGTGACCTTGGTTAGATACCTTGCTTTCCTCATCTGTAGAATGAGAATGATGATAGCAACTACTTTATAGGAGTTAGAGAGTGAATTGTAATGCTAATAGAAATAGAGCTGTGATTTGGCAAAAATCATTTTCTGCTGATGTAGTAACTGCAGCCTCGGAATACAAATCATGTAGCTGGACTTTTCTGATACTTAGATATACTGAAGTAATTCAGGCAGAAAAAGCATGGGTTCCTTCTCACGTCCCCAAGGATATTTGGAGAAACTTGAATTTTAGGAGAAACCCAGAGTGATATAGTGATATTTCACTTATATTTTTCTAAAAAGTATAAAACCCTGTTTTGACTCTAATGTTGATTCAGGTTTTTTTTCTTAAATGTAAATAGATAATTTTTACCATATATGGACATGATGAATGTAAAGTTTTCAATTTTGTTTATGGAATTAAGTTTTGCTTTTTTTAATCATCTCATCTTTAGATGTGGAGCAGCGAACTTAGAATCAAAACTCATCACTGCAACGTTTTTTCTTATACTTTACCTTAATCTGTCTTCCTTGAAGTTAATCTTCATCTGTTATTCTGTCTCTTCTAAATCTTGGAATGTAAAAAAGAGTTACAGTGTTTTACAGTTTATACTCCTACTACTTTATCTTATAAATCTTAAAGTATTTGCAGGCTTTTTTCTCTTAAACTATCAGTGAGTCTTAACATTGTGATTTATAGGACTCGGTTTTTTAAAAAAATCTGTTCCATAATTTGTTATTTTGTATCAATATGTCTGATATTTCGTGAATACATGAGAAGGGTAGTGGATTGAGAGTAGGACTAAATTTAATGTATATTTCCTTAATTAAACTGAGAAAAATGCATGAGTCTGTGTTGGGATACTTGCTAAAACTGGTTACTAAACCTATTGACTGAGCAACTAAAGCTGTAGGCTTGACATTAGTTTATCTTCGAAGGGTAGAAATAAAATGCTTATTCCTAAATAGGTCTGTATTCCAAGTGCAGTTTTAAGTATTCCACGTTACACATATTTTGAACTTCCTTAAAACATCGATTAGTGGCCTATAGGTTGCTGACGTTAGGAATTAAGGGTTTTATCCAAAATTAGGGGTATCTACCTGATTTTTGTATCTAAGAATCATAAGTTTATTCAGTATTTACTGTCTGCCATGTTCCGGGTACTGTTCACATTGCTAGATAGAGCAAAGGATGTTCTGCTCATGTGGGGAAAACAGACAGCAGATGAACAAAGCTCTACTGGTAACAGTCTGTTAAACATTCTCAGAGCTTTGCATTTGGGACAATTTAATGATATAAAGATTTTTATTTATAATCAGTAATTATTCTGATTTCTCCAAAAGGATATGGAGAGACTTTTTACCATTTCGTTTTATTATGAACCTAGTTTAACCTGATTTTCTTTACAGAGTGACATAAATAATTATCCAAATTCAGCATTTGGGCCAAAATGCAAGTTTCTTCCTGAAAACTAAACAGCACAGATCTTACAGGATTTTATGGGGATAATATATTCGCTTAAGTCAAATGGTTACACCAGTTTTTAAATAGGCAGCGATCAAAGGCCTTTCATGTTTTTGTGATCTACTATTATTACTCATTCAAATTTCTATTTATAGTGTGGTAGTTTGTGTCCCTTGTGAGCACTAATGTCGGAACAGGAAACTTTATTATCGTTAAACTTTTTAATGTGCAATGTACCAGGCTTGGGACAGAGAGGAATAAGAAGGAGTAAGTAATAAGCCCAGTCCCTGCTGCCAAGTGGTGGGGAAGACCAGTCAAATAAGCTATCAAATCTATTAATTTATGTCTAGCCATAGCTCATGTTCTGTTATCCACACTAAAGCACATAACTGATAGTAAAAAACTGTATTTTGCTTTAAAATAATATGAACTATTTGATTTATATTCCCAACTATTAGATTTAGTTGACTATTAATAGGTAAATGTTAATTAGATTCTCTGAGCAAATTAACCAATGATGGAGAACTACATAGCCAACAAAAAAAATACTAAGAATGGAACGTAATCAGAAGGGTATGGAAGAGTGGGTAGTTACTGGGGAGCCCTCTGCTGTTACAAATGGGACTAATAGTAAATATTCTAACATGAGTAAAGCAACAGGTTCAGCAGCTGTGTAAAAGCTATCCCAGGGAGGGGCAATGGTAGAGCTAGAATTTAACCTAACCAGTTTGTCTGCCTTTGAATAAGTATCTCCTGTATGTAGCCAGATTTGAATGGTTGGGCCTTGGTGTTATTGACATACAGGAGGCAACTGAAACCATAAATGTGAAATTATTTTCATA